TAAGAGGGAGATATGATCTGAATTAAATAAATGTTCTCTGCAGCGCAAAAGGAGAAGTAGAGGAGAAGGAGAGAGGAGAAGAAACACAGGGACTGTGAAAGTAAAGCTCGAGGCAGTTGGGTCAACACTGGAGTCTGAAGTTTTATCTGAGGCACTTGTCTAGTGCGGTGCTGAGAGATCCAAACAGAACAAGTCTGTTTATTACTGATAGATGCTTTATGGTGCTTAGACATGTCTTATCGCAATACAAATACCGTTCCACTGTTGTCTTTAAATACTGTCTGTGTGTGTGACAGGGTGAAACAGAAAGTAGGTTAAAAAGGAAGACGTGGTTTGTCTGCTTGTGTTTCTGTGTGTTTAATGTGAGGAGATGTAGCGTAATTCACTGTATGTAGGGTATAAACGTATTTAATATGTGGTCAATGAAACACCTCCTCTTGCGCAGGTGCAACTTGTCTATATTACAGTAAAACAGGAAGTTGACGGGTCATTTTCAAAGCTTAAATGGCCATTTAACTTGCATGGACACCTGCAAATGCACACTGTTTACTAACATTTTCATATCAGAAATATTATACACAGACACTTTGGAGGCCATGTGTGTACTGGCATGCATGCACTTTTTTTGCAATACACTTTTTGTGTTTTCAAAAGACTGATACTCTCAACATCTGGAGTTTGATTATGGCGATAGGGATAATGCCCAAAATGATATGTGAACAGTTGTTTGTGTTTGTTTGTGTGTATTAATATCTGTTAGCCAAGAGACCCTCGCCAACTCCACTAGCAACATGTTCTCCTCAGTCTCACCTTTAACACACACACGTGCACTAACACACATACAATGCATTCACATTTATATAGCCTATACACACACACACACACCTCCCTTTTCCTGAAACCCTCCCTTACATACCAGAGTGCTTACCACGTCAATAGCCGTGATACGCTGACACTGGGAGGCTGATTTATTTCTCAAAGTTTAGCTCCCACTTCACCGCAGAAACATTAAAAGTATAGGACTGTAACAGCATTAATAACTATACAAAATAATTCCACTAGTTACTAATATATAGCCATGAGAGATGGCATGAAGGGAAAAGAAATGAGCCTTTATATTCACCCAACATATATTAAAAAACAACATAATGATAAAGCATCTTTCTTACTTCCAGAGGTGGGACCGAGTCATTATTTTGCAAGTCACATATATGTCTTAAGTCTTTGCACTCGAGTCCCAAGGTCAAGTTGAGTCATGAACAAGTCATAACACGCTCTTCACCAAATGTAATATCATTTAAACAACAGAGTAATAACATATTAAATTTACAAAAAGTCGGAATGCTCTTCAAATGTCTGACTGAACTTTGTCATAAAAAAATAATGCTGCTATACTGTACACTAATAAGCAGTGCTACAATTAGTTCGCTATCTATGTTAATATTAGCCTCAGTTTACTGTTAATTTTCAAGCTGCATGTTTTTGCACATTGCAACTTGTTTGTTAATGACCACTGCTTAGTTTTTGTACAAAAACAAAAAATCTTTGGTATCACTTTTTTCAACTGATGCTCAGTGACAATGTTCTTCATGGTTCTCTCCTACAGTTTAAGTGGATGCTGTCAGATTGGTTAAACTAAAGTGGACCCAGAGTGGATCATTGGGGGAATTAAGTGTTGACTTGGTGAGAATGAACTGAATTAACGTTAGTTGATTCTGAAAATGAAGGTAAATGTCCTGATTTGTGGCACACTTTTAAACAGCATACGTTTTAATCTTCAGGCTTGGGGGAAGGCATTAATTATCTTCATGAGTCACTGGTGTTAAAGTCCAAGTCAAGTTGCAAGTCTTTCTTGATTTTGTCAAGTCTTAAGTCATCAAATTTGTAACTAAAGTCTGACTCGAGTCCAAAGTCATGTGATTTCATGTTCACATCTCTGCTAATTCCCCTGGTAGCACAACGTTTGTCACAGCTTAGAACTCAACTAGCTGCCAATGCTTGAAAGCAACAACCTCTTAAATATGTGAACGTACTGCTGATGTTTAAGGTTAATTAAAACTAGTTGTGTTTTGAATACACAAGTTTCCAGCGGTTGTCAAATGGTGATACCAATCCAGGTGTGCTGTGGGATTTTGTGATAACCGCACATTATTACTGCAATATTCAACTGGGCCTATACAAAACAATATGAATTAAGTTTTAATTGAGTGTATTAGTATATTGTGCACACCCATTTCCCAATAAAGAGGTAAACTCTAGCTAAAAATGCAATTTAATCTGACTTAATTAAAATCAAAAACCTTCACAGGGAGCCTATCTGTGGGCCTAAGTGTGTGACACGTCAAACACCCTGATTGGCAGCCAGTGTGAGGGATGATAACAATTAAAAGGAGAAAGCCATGAATGAGACAATGGATCGCTTTATTTAATACAGTTGTGCCTTGAGATTTTGGCTTGCCCTTTGGTTTGCCTTGGGCACAAAAAGTTTAAAAACCACTGGACTATTCAATCGCTCTCTTGTACTTCTAGACATCCAATACCATGTTACCGACTACAGACATTTTAGAAACGCAATGCAGGGCAAACACAAAAAAGTGCCACTTAATTGAATGCATAGGGAAAAGATTACAATGATTCACTCCTAGTATGTCATACTATGAAATGTATTCATTTTTCCATTTTAGTCCACCATATGTGCACAAACTGCTCCAAGAGCTCAGTAACCATGGCTTCCAGAGCTCCACTTAACAAATCCAACTATTAGCATTAGTGTTAACAGCTGATACAGATGCTTTCCACAAAGCCTGCTCAGTGTCTCTGATCACTTAGGCAGATTAGCTGGGATTTACACCTACACACGACAGTAAATAAAGCACCAACAATAAACTACCTAATGTTATCGCCGATTGCTTACAGTAGATCACTGGGAGATCTAAGCTATGAAATAGCTGCGAGTGAGTCTCCGCTGTGCTGGAAGGTATTTATTACAATGACCTGCTGGCTACATCCATCTTTGACTCTCTCTGCTGCACTGCCAACTGGATGAGAAAGTGTCTATTTCCTCATCTGTTCTCCTCTCTCCATCCTGATAGTGGTTAATAGGCCATCTGACCGAGTTCCAACAGAAACACTCTGATTAAAAAGACATTCATCTTCTGCCCAGACACATCTCGCACTGTCTTACACAGAAGTCCAATCAGCATGCAGACGCATACGTCCACCCATGCTGTCACATAACACATGTGCGCAGGCACACACACGTAAAAATTTTTATGTCTATATTTACGCCCAATGCCTTTGTCAAATCATAATTTTTAAAAAGAATGTAAAAAGACTATAACTACAGTAAGGTGATACTCCACTATTCTCTTCAGCAGCCACACATACTTATATAAAAAGTATATTAAACACAGGTTCATGAGCTTATAACTTTTATTCTTTTCAATCCTACCTGTGTTTACAGCAGCAGTTTATGGCTGCAGTGGATTCTCCGATGATAACCTGCAGCTAACCTGCATGTAACCTTTGACCTGTCTGTGGTGACCAGAGGGGAGGGGTCACACCGACAGCAGTTAGTGGCTGACACTAATGAGACAGCAGCCGCGATAAGATGGACGAGCTGAGGAGAAGGAAACTCTTCCAGCGCCTGATCCCAAATACTGCTATCCCACAAAGGGCTGTGCATGGAAACTAAAAGCACAGGTTAACACACACATGTGCATGCGCACACTCTGGTGACAGCTGTATGTGAGTAGCAGACACATGCAGAAGTAGCGTGAGGCATGCACAAACACATTCGAACAGAGAGTAGACTGTGTGAACAAACTCTGCGGGAGCTACTGGATCCCTATTATACTTCATTCTCATGCGTTCCCACACAGTTTGAGTCAGCACACGGTTTCCATGCCAGAGTGGAGAGTCTGTAAAACAGGTAATGAATGAGGCAGGAAACTGTGTTGGATTCAGTACGTGCAGCCCATCCAGATGCATTCTAAGCCATTCAGAGCCGTAGCTAGCATCGACACACCTGACGGAGCTAGCGTGTGTTAAAAAATTGTGCTTTCACATACCTTTTTCACACTCATGGCTTCTTCTGTGCAGTTGGCGATCCACCAACAGAGAAACCACCCACTATCAATCTACATACACAGACATGCCAACCAGCACACAACTAACTATAACCGCTCCATGTTCGGATGCACTACAGACACATACAAAAACATGCCTTTTTCTTTGCTTCTTTTTTCACACATGCACGCATACACACACACATGAAGTAAACACACAGGCAAACACTCACACAGTATGTTTTGGCACTAAACAACCACTCATTTGGGCACATGAACACACCATGCCAATCCATAAATCAGATGATAATTGAGTAGCACTGCGCCAGTAATAAACAGAGTAGTATAAACAGCCAGTGTCTGGGCTGGATACACCACCTCCCACTGGCATGCTGCTGGCTGCCTTCCTGGCAAACTCAAAAACACACAGGCACACACACACATACACACACACATTTGCTGTATGCATTCACAGTAAGGCAAAGACAGAAAGAAAAATACTCACCTGTCGAGTTTATGGACATATGTATGAAAACACAGTGTGATATGAAGGAAAACACACATGACACCACTCATGATTGCAATGAAATGTGAAGAAGCTTTGCAGAAGTCAACACAATGGAGAGGCTATACGTCTCCAGTGATATAAGTCAGGAAACATATAAAGTCTCTCATTGTGTTATTGCTGTGACAGGAATGAGGAGCGAGATTGTTTGCTGTAAATGCATTATACATTTACTGCCCCACTGGGATAGTCAAATCTGAGCTCCTTGGGAATCACATTAGAGCCAAAATGCCCTGATTTCCAACTTTATACCTGGGAAAGTTTAAAATGAACACAGCAGTCATGGCAGGATGTCAAGAGTGACAGCTATGGACAGTGTTGACGATATTGTGATATGTTTTTTAACAGGCACAGTAAAAACTACTTACCCAGATCTGCAGACGTTGATACACGGAAACAAATGATAAGACATGAGGCCAAATGATTAAAAACAACACACGTACATAGGTCACAGTGTGCATTTCTAGAGTGTGATTACATCAGGCAAAAAGCATGACAGCGTGGAAGTGGTTTCAAGTGCTGGGAGGACACAATCTAGACAGTTTATGTCTTGTGGATTACTCCTTTATAAATAGAGCACTTAGGAATGAATTGAGATCTTACAAAGATCCGGTCACTTGGAAGGACACTGCTCTCTGAGGACACACAGATGGTGTCTTGTGATGGATAAGAATGTCACGGAATTTTTGACCCTCACCTCTCAAGATCGGCGATTTTCTTCTCCTTGCACGATTTGTCCATCTCAGCATCCCTCAGAGCTGCCATTAGCCTCTCCACCTCCGCTTTTGACTTCCCAGATTCCTCTTTGTTGCGAGCCACTTCCTGCTCTAGTAGCCTCAGACGATCTGTGATGTCTGGACACTTCCGGAGGGCTTCTTCCGTGTTTTGGGTCTTTGGGGGGGAAGGCAGTACACAGAAGGAGTGGAAACATTAGAACTAGCCACAATACACTGCATATAGTATTATTAAGGTGGTATCAAAGCAGATACACAGTGGCCAGATTAGGACATCTCAAAATGAGCTTTTCAAGAGCTCCTCTTTTTTAGGATCACTGTTGGATTTAGCTAAACTTTCAGTTCAAACTGCAATTTGTCAAACACATACTCGCTTCCAATGCTTGGTCAGTGGCCCTCCACATCAAACAATAACGGTCTAACTACACCTCCAGGATAGCATGTCAATATCCACTTATTACATGCATTGTGTCTTTTCAAAATAAACTTCCACGTTCACAGGAAGTGTACGGTTTCTGCTTGTTAAGTATCATTTCGAAATAAAGTTTCAATGTAGGTTTACCTCGTTTCTAGGTTTGCTTCCTTAGGTTTAGACAACAAAAGTACATGGTTGGGTTTCAAACATTGACCATGGTTTGGGTTAAAATAACTACGTCTTGGGACGTCGGTGGCTTAGTAGATAGAGCAGGCGCCCCATGTACAAGGCTGTTGCCTCAGCGGCCTGAGTTCGACTCCAACCTGTGGCTCTTTGCTGCATGTCATTACCCCTCTCTCTCTCCCCCTTCACACTTAACTGTCCTATCTATAAAGGCAAAAATGCCCCAAAAAATATCTTAAATAAATAAATAACTATGTCTTGATAATGAACGTAACATCTTGTGACATCTCTAATGTGACATACAGTACAGGCCAAAAGTTTGGACACACCTTCTCATTCAATGCGTTTTCTTTATTTTCATGACTATTTACATTGTAGATTCTCACTGAAGGCATCAAAACTATGAATGAACACATGTGGAGTTATGTACTTAACAAAAAAAGGTGAAATAACTGAAAACATGTTTTATATTCTAGTTTTCTTCAAAATAGCCACCCTTTGCTCTGATTACTGCTTTGCACACTCTTGGCATTCTCTCGATGTATGTATGTCACGGCAGGGGACAGCCATGAGTGTACACCAAGCCCCATTCTCACAGTAACAGGGTTAACTGCTAGCATCACATGACTAACATTCGCTAACGGTTATTAACTGGTTTAATGACAGAGTCAAGCTGCTTCAATTAGAGTTATAGCCGCTGTGTCAGATGTTAGCCGATGCTGTGTTAGCTCATGCTAACCAGGCAGACCTTGAACTGACTGTAGCCTGGGAGGAGAACGGCTCTGGCGAGGGCAGCAACAGAAAGTTTGCTGATCCGGTGGGGAGTCAAGATGGTCTGGGATCAGACCCGTGGTGCAAAAAAGATTGAATTTATTTGACTGGAAAGGTTTCAGTGCTACTTGGTACTGGGTTATTTCGGTCTTAAAGGTATCAAGTCCTGATACCCAGCCCTACAGATTAACTTTGGATAATTTGAGCAACATAAGAAATAACTAATAAATTATGCAATAAAAAACACACCATAATCATAAAGCCGTAACAACACATATAGTTAAATGTGATAGGAATGAACTGGATCTGTTATCATGGTGTGAGAATTAAGTTAGCATTATGGAAATACAATAGCAAGTTAAATCGCTAATTGTGAACATGCTATCATAAGAATTCAGCTGGGAGTACAGGTGTAGCTAGCAAAAGACCAGCTGAGGTTGACAAAGCACTGCTAAAGCTAATAAACAACAGCTCAGGCTGACAAAGTACAGTTTAGCCTCACTAAGTACACCTGAAGCTAAAGGAACCACACATGACATGACGGTGCAGCTGCAGCTGACCAAGCAAAGCTAAAACCATGACAAAGTTTAGCTGAAAATGACAAAGGACAGATAGGGTTGATGAATGTTGTGCTAAGAGTGACAAAATGCAGCTCAGACAGATTAATGTTAAGTCAAGTCTGGCAACAGAAAGCTAAGAGAGTCTGACATGTCCTAAAATGGCCTCTGCTCACACACCAATGCAGGCACAAAATAACAGAGCCTACCATGGGGCTTCCTGCTGGGAGCCCATCTACTTTAGCTGGCACCTAGAAGTTAATACAAATAGATAAAACAGATGTTGATTTATAAGAACCAAGGACAGTCATAACATTTTAACATTCTCTAGAAATGAAAGAGTGGACACCGACAATTAAGCAGGGTCAGATGTGAAATCATCGTGCATGGGTAGCTTTGAAACCCAAAGGATAAGGTAAGTCAATCCTGGATATGTGGTTAGGGTCACCATCTAGCTGAAGCAGAACCAATCTGTGCCCTCATCCGCTCTCATCCCTTCATCACCCCCCTGGTTTCTCTGCTGCCTGCTTTTCTGTGGTTTTTATCTATCAGTTGCCTCCCCGGGGCGTCCGTCATGTAGAGTTTGGAGTTCAGTCATTATCATTATAAAATTACCGTCTCTCTCTGTTTGGCTGCGATTTTATGAGACCACCAAACATCTCAATTTTTTTTTTCTAAGTACAATGTTGAAAAAAAAAATACAGAGTTACACTGATGAATTCTTTCTTCTCTGAGAAAAATATCCCAGAGGAAGTTTGTACCCTAGAATTATCTTTCTCTCTCTCCCTCTCTCGCTTGCTCTTTAGTTCTCTCTGTCTGCTGTGTTTGGGAAGATTGTTTAACTTGTTGAAACAGCTGAGGCCACTCGTTTAAACATCATCAAGTAAGTGCGCGCGCACACGCACACACGCACACACACACACACACACACACACAGCAATTTATTGTCAGCTCTATAGGCCTAGGACTGTACATGTAGCTCTTCTTGAGTCTGTCATTACTAAAAAACCCCAAGGAGTGTCTGTTAACTATTAGCACCAGCCAATCTGAACAAATGCCTCTTTCCCATTATGACAAACCCACCAGATAAACCATATGCACAAATTGGCTCCTGCATATGGGAGATACAGCCATGGGCACAGGCGGCATATGGGGCACAACAAAATGTTTGAAAGGTCTTTAGATATAGGCGTGCATAATGAGGTAGCTCAGCAGGAACACATCTGTAAATGTTAAAATATACACTCAATATGTCAAGGTTGACATTATTGTAGACTCTGACTGCTGTTGTGTGTATTGCGGTTATGTCCATGGATACAGTGTACATGTGACCATAAGTAAGTAAGCTGCAAGTAAAGACTATTTTCATTGCCGAATAACCTGATTAATCGAGTAGATGTTTTGTCTATAAATGTTGATCATTGTTTGCCAAAGCCCAAGATGACATCCTCAAATGCCTTGTTTTGACCATAACCCAAAGATATTCAATATTTTTTCTTTAAAAATTACTTAAACTGATTAATCGACCATCAAATTAATTGCCATTTCATTTAATAGTTGACAACTGATTAATCATGGCAGCAATCAAAAGCCCCATAAGCTTGTAACTGCATGCGTGCACACTTTGTGCCTGTGATAAAGGGAACACTTGGCCCTCTAGAAAGCAAACAGAGTCACTGTTTACCTCATCCTTACGCCCATTACCTCCACACCTTGCCTCATACACTTGTACAGACACATCAAACCCAATCTTAGCTTGCACAAAATGCATTAGGCCTAAGTGGACCCGAGTTTGTTATGTTCTTTTAGTGAAAAACACAGACATGGGGAAAGCAGGGGGCTGAGAGGACAGCGGGTCAGGCAAGAATTTGTGATATTATGACAGGAGGGGGAAGGCCAGTAAAGATACGATTACATATTTGGTCACTGAAATTATTATTATCATTCCTGGAAATGTCTCTGAAGTGTAAATATTACAAATAAGTTAAATATGTGTGGCCACCAGGATATGAGCTGGGTCAGAGGATTCCCAGCCACACTGAGCTTGGGTAACATTTAAAAAAGAGGTTTTGACTCCTAAAGGTAATATCTGTTTCTTTATTACATATGACAGCTGTCATTCTCATTATATATCTGTCAGTGCAATCAATGTCTGATTTATCTTATCTCCATATCATGATCAAAAACACACAAAGGATCTAAAAACAGAGAAACAGGCAACAAAAAAAGGTAAGAAGATATGACATCCGCCTGGTTTGCAAAGAGTCTTATGAATAGGACTCAAAAGTGAGTTGAGGTGTGGTGCCTCCTCACTGATTTAAGCCAATCCTCTCTGGAAAAGGTCATTGCCTTCCCCAAGGTCCTTTACAGTTTTCCCTTTGAAGAGCTAGTGTTTAGTTTCAGAAGTCCTTTATTAACCTTGGAATCAACAAATACTGTTTTATGGGAAGAGGATGAGGATGCAGTGAAGTCAACAGAGCTGAGAGGTCAACATAAAAAGTTCTGCTAACAGCTTGACTGAGTCAGTAATACAAACATCTGCAGATACAGTGAGTGGGCCACCGTGTGTACACGACCTGATGGCAAACACAAACTCTACATCTGCATGAGGGTTAAATGGCTGTCAGGCGGAAAGCTTATTTCTCCATTTTTGAAGGTATTTGAGAATAACATCAAAAGAGGATGCTTCGAATACAGCCTTTAGATTAATGCAAAAAATGTCAAAAACATCATCTGTATATTAAGCTGGTTTATGAGAAAAATACTATTTGTCTCAAAATATGACATTGTGGAAATGCAATCATTGTGCACAGTACGGAGAATTCAGCAATTTTGCTCAGGACATTTCTTAATCATACTTTAGTCAGGAACACTCTCGTCATAGATTTAACCATTTATTGCAACAAATACAGTTATATTTAGCACTGGGGGCTCCGCTCTTGAGGTGCTTCATGGATTAGACAAGCAGCATGTGCAATGCAGAAAAACCACCGGATTAAAAGTGAGCCCAAGCAAGACATTAAATACCATTTCGGCCTTTGAGCCATGTTAGGTCTCTGAAAAAGCAAGGTGGAGGCTGGGGTGGTGGAGGTAAAGCTTTGCCAGCAGCAGTGGCAGCAGTGTGTCACAGCATTTGTGTAGCAGGGACCAGTGAGTAGGAAGCCTTGTGGCTGTGATTGGTGTGCAACTGGTAAGAAACAATAATCCAAACAGCTGACTATCAGCTGATTACAGCTGGGCCATTTGACTTCCATATCCTACATGAACTAACACCAAGCTTCATTAATTTAAATCAAGCACTTTTAGTTTCTGGTAAAACCTGACAAATCTATATAGCAAAAAAAATAAAATAAATAAAAATATATGTATATTTACAGCATACATAGGCTAGCATACAATTTTTTGAAATTAGTATGGGGGGTTTCTTTTAGAAATAAGTCATTAAGTAAGCTAGGGCTGACAACTTCTGGTCAGTTGGTCAAATGGCTGATCGATACGTTCTTGTTCAACCAAATTTTATTGGTCGCTGGTGTTACTTTCATAGGCGGTGTGTCCACTACAGTGTTTTTGTTCCGGCTGAAAATACCAGGCATTCTTTCGCATTTTCGAAAACACCCAGATGGGAGTGCTAGAGCATTGTCTTTGGAGATGCAAGGTTTTTTTTTTTTTCAGCTGAGACGCTTTGGTTGCATCTGGTGTCTACAATATGGAATATCCAGGGAAGTAAAAATTTCGGCACAAGGTAGAGTACTTGAGTACTTGAAGGGAAGGCCAAAGCACAGAGAAAGAGAGGACGGATGCAACAGTGTATGTGGCCAGCAGTACGGTATTTTTCCTCCATTCTTGCTGTTTAGCACTTGTAGGGTGTGATGGTTAGTCTTTGTGGTATTTGTCCCACAACTCCTTCACTGTGATTGGACGGCTGGGTATAAAGCGACAGTGACGAGTGCAGCGTTCTATCCAAAACTGAACATTTTTCAACTCTGTGACCAGGAAAAAAGCACCAAACATGCAGTCGTTACCACAGAGTACAAGATCAGTGCCTTGTCAAGGTGCTGGCATATGTAGCATTAGTAAATACACCAAGCTCCCGCCGCAAAGAACTCCAAAGACATGCTGGTGAATGCATAATCTAATAGGTAGAGAGCAGTTGGTGCACTGTGGCAGATTAAGTTAATCTAGAGATAACATGTAGATTTTTTTTTCCCCATCGACCAATCAATTAGTTGAGAAACAAAATTTCAGTCGACCAAGAGTTGCCTACAGCCCTAAAAAAAGCACAATGGGTGTTGAGGCATAATCTAAAAGGGTGGATTTACAGCCTGTGGGGAAAGATGACCGATACTGAATCTCTGCTGTCCTGACTTCTGTAGTTCATTCCTCTACCTTGACTGAGATGAGTAACTACAGGGCATTCAGAGTGATGGTGCAGGAACAGCATAGTGATAGTGTTTGTAGGTGCCTGTATTTTTCTGCATTTGCTGTACACAGATTTTTCTGTGCAGCGTACTTGATTTGGAAATTTGATTAACTCTAGCTCTCATGATCAAATCATGTTATACCCTGGCTGACGGCACTGAGATGAATGTGTGCATGAGTGCGTTTGTGTGTGTGTGTGTTAGGTCGGTTTGATCAGATTCTAAGCTCAGGCACAGAGTCAGTTCACCTCTGACCTACTGAGTATTACAGCCTTCCAACCTGTCACACTCCATTGCAATACAATAGGATCAAACACGGCAACACACTGAAACACATGCAGAGACTCACACATCAACACCAACACACCGACAGTTGTTTCTCTGCTCGCATGCATGCACAGGCACAAAGAGAGAACCACACACTCATACGCACAATTATAAACACACAAACAGCATCTGTGTTTTTGAAGTATCTGCAAGTTTACATAACAGACCTGATTGCTGCTGAGTACACCAAATAGTCCAATTATGGCACCACTTCTGTCAGAGTGTGAATCTGCTCGCTACAAAGAGTTATTGAGCTGCTGCCCCTTTCATGTGGTGCCGCATCAACATTCAACAAGATATCATTTCACAGGAATGAGATGTGTGTGTATGCTTTTTATGAGAATAAAAAAAAAATATTCTCATAAATTCTGGCAGGGCGAGATTCTGTCCTGGCTTGTAAGCCTGGGAGAGGAAAAAGAGGGAGAAAAAAGACAGCCAGGCCTCTGACTTGGCACCCGAACAGGGAATGAGGGATCTTTTACGTCCATAAATCACTCTCTCTTAATTCATCCCTTTATCCTGTGGGACAAAGTGCAGGCAGGCCCTTTGCTAGGGAGTTGCTAACAATACTGTGAATGCACACAGGGAGGTAAGAGAGTGGAATTGCTATTACTGTAGATGTAAGCAGTGTAAATACAGGGTGCAAGTAGCGCATTACAACCACTGCAGAGTGGTTGTAAAAGCAAATTCTTCTAATTCTTTTTGTACAATAAAAAACATAATTATAAAGCGCCATTATGTTCGTTTGAAGCATTCAGCGGTTAAAGGTTTCGAGAAATGTACTTGTTATTATTTGTTTTATGAGCTCTGCGAAATGGGATTCTGTGTTTGGGCTCATTTTAGAGGTTGGCGCAAGCGGTGAAGCGTGTGCGAGTCTGTTATGATGTGGATAATGATGAAGTATTAATGGCTGTTTGTCTGCAGTCCGCACACATACCAGACTATCAAACTTGTGTACAGTGCTCGTGTCAACATGCACGCTGTTTCAACCACAAGTACTGTTTTGGATATTTCAAATTAAATGTAATACAATAGCCAAAACATATTTATAAAAATTACCCACACTGCATACCACACACACCTAATAAGGCATCATAAGTATGTCAAAACAATCCATACTGACCTCTCCATCAGGCCTCTGGTTCTGGGTGGGGACGGGGTTAGCAGGCTGACTTGGGGACAGTTTCTGGGGCTGCAGGGCTGAAAGTTTGTCCTTTAATAGCTGGTTCTCCTTCCTCATCTGTTCCAGCTCCTCCAGCCGAGCCCTGTCTTCCCGCTCCCTCTGCTCGCGTAGATTCTCTATCACTCGCTCCTGAGATAGGAAAAGAGCAAAAGAAAATAAGGTTTAGTTAGAGATGAGAGCAGGAATATGGTATACATTGAGGCTTGTACACATTCAAGAAATGAGTGTTTGCTTCCAGTGTGCACAAAATTGTCAGGCCTGTGTGATTACACTTCTTTCCTATCATTATTAAAAAATTTGAGCCGGTCTCTCACTGTTTAGGCTCGCCAGCATGCTTCGCAAAGAGAGGCCAAAGACAAACTCATAAATGCCCATCATAAATAATGCTGCCATAAATAATAGCAGGGACATGAGAGGAGATGAGAGCCAAGTAGAACAGAGAGAGATGGAGGAAGCAGGGGAAGGGTTGAGGGACAGAGACAGATTTATTGAGAGCGGATTGGACAGTACTGTAGATCACTTCCTAACAACTCCACCTTGACTGCTGATAAACCGAGTTGGAATGTTTACATCATAATTTTCTCTATTCTCTAATCACATCGGACAGCGGGAGGACCACGGCTCTGGGCATTGGCCTGAGACCAGGTCCACACCATGGGTGGCGGAGCATGCAAAGGTGTGTGTAGTAGGTGTGTGTTAAGGTGTACGTGTGTGTGTTTAGGTGTGGACTGAAGTGATTATCAAGGTGTTTACTCAGGTGTTTATTTAGGCACAGAGCACAGCTCAGCAATGAGGCTTTACGATGTGGCATCGCCGCATGATTGGCAGCTTTAAACCCCTGGGTAATTGGACAAATACACCCACTAACTAGACCTGGCACAGTAACGCACTGCATAGTGGGCTTTGGAGGAGAGGGCGAGAGAGAGGGAGAGAACAGAGAAGGAGGGAGAGACCACATGGCTAATAGGTCCTGGGTGTTTTCCCCACATTATGAAATATCTCTAGGATGCTTGGGGTTTAGGGAAAGAGACCAGGATGTGATAATAAAAAGTGTGGAGTGCATGTAAACACAACAAAAATACACATACGTAACATCTCAGACAGGCACACACACACACATACACACACCAAAGAGCAGGACTTGGCTTGGGCACAATGCCCTAGCCTGTTAATTAGAACCACAGCACTGTGGCTAGCGACTGGCTCCAAGAGCAGGTTTGTGACAGGGAGTGTGATTAGCAACACACACACTCGCTCTTGTAAACACATTACACACACCCTGTGTTGACCACAGAGTCTGAAAAGCTCGCCAACGTTCTCCTCATCACAGCTGAATTATATGTAGGCTGCATCAGAAGTGGTTTCTGGGTAAACAGATGGGCCAAGGCAGAAAAGGGATTTACAGTTTATTGTACCATTATGTTATTCATTTCAAAGTCTGTCGGCAACAAAAACAAATTTAGGTGATAAAAGATCATTTTAAGTGAAAACATCTATGTACTGAATGAAAAACACATCAGCCAACATCTTGTTTATTAATAGACTGATCCCTGTGAGCACAATGCAAACAATTCTTTTTCTTGTTGACTGAATGGATACAGATTCAGTTTAGTTCAAGTAACACAGAATTCAACGCAATCAAAAGAAATGATTGCAGCCTACAAGTCAGAGACACACACACACACACACACACACACACACACACACACACACACACATTTTTGTTCATACCTGTCAGGAACACAAGCACCTCTGTGTCTGACTCCACATAACCTGCTTTCACACGATTGGTGTCAAAGCACTTAACATTGTGTAAAAAACCTAATTTTTTTTATAGAGGAGGCGTTGTTGGCTGACTCAGCACTTATGTTGTATCTCCTGTTCAGAACCGCTAAAAAAAACATTGAGTCGTGATGCTAAGCCCTCAAATTGTTTGAACTCTGAGCCAGTTTTAACACCACCTTTCTAAATTTCAGCAATGAAGCGTAGTGCTAGTTCAGGCAGAGCACTGAAGTCACGCTTGTATTGGCTGATTGGCATCAGCTGTTGGCTGGGAATATCCAATCGTACTCATGCTATATGCAGCGCGGACATTATAACTTTACACGCTCATGTCAGTGCTGTTTGCTGCCACAGCTACCTCCACCAGCCCAACCTCCTCCTAATGTGGTATTTGTTGTATTAGTTAGTATTCAGTGTATTTATTAGGGGGGTTTGCTCTCTCAGCAGAATCCTAATCACTGTTCGGATTCATTGAGAGCTCTCTCAAAAAATAAGAAATGCAACACTCAAATTTCGTCTTAAAAGCTGCTGTAGGATATTTTCTACTGACCCATGGAACAAGCCACAGGACACAACGCTTAGGCGGTGAGGGGGGCAGGGAAGGAGGTATCCCTTCAAGGAAGGAGGTTGGTTGGTTGAAACGCAGTGCCCACGCCACAGGGGCAACCACCAACCTGCCTGGAAGCCGCCCTCAGGACATGAGAGAAGCATGCGACAACAGAAGCATGCCGTGCCTGAATGCATAAACCGAGTAGAAAGACTTCGCGCACCAACCAAGCTGACAACCCTCACCATGTAGCCCTGGCAAGGTGGTCACCAGAAAGAAGTTGGGAGAAGTTTTCCTCCATTGCTTTCTACTATAAAGGGATTTCTTGATTAGGTTAGGTTAAAAGTCATGGTTTGGGTTTTAATGAATACATCTCTGTCAGAAAGGGCTTTCTGAAAGAAAGCCTCCAAGGAAAACTTCTCTCATGTGCAACCGGCAATGATCCTTCCACATGTACAAAGGCCAAGGGCTTAATCAAGATAAACTTATGACCTGTGCTTAATGGGAATTCCTCATTGATGGGAAATAATTGCAACCCCCAATGCCTATCACAAGTGGGGTTCAACGCTTTACCCATGCCTCTCGGCGAAAGGTAGACACGCGAAGAGTCGTTCCTTTACTTCTAAGACAAGCGTGCATTGGGCAGGTGGCAGCTCATGTACCACAAGCTAATGTCGCTAACAGAAAAATACATGCCTAAACATACATGTGCACACTGGAACACATAAAAATGTGGCAGCCACTGGGAAAACATTTAGTACAGCTGGACAACCACATCTGTCCTAATTGGGAACTCCATAAACTCTTAAGCAGCAGCCAATGCCAACAAAATGTAAACCAGCATCCATCTTTTAGCCTGCAGTACAAACAAACACGTAAATGGGAACCATTTTGTAGCCCGCGGTGCCAAAGCAATCATTTTTTAAGACTGTAGTACCAACAAATGTGTGCTCGCAACAACTTCAAGCATGCAACAAAGCTCAGCAAGATGGAGTCGCTCTGAAATCGAGCCAGTCAGTTCAAGGTAAAGTGTATATACTGCCAGACTAGGATTTGACATCTCCATGGTCAGTACAGTATGTAAATCAAATCTGGCCTGTGTTCAAGCCTGTCTCCAATTAGAAATCACTGGCACCCTGTAACCACGAGTGCAAATTCATAAACACATCACTACAGGCTTGTGCAAAAAGAAAAAACACCATTAGCACTCCAGCTTCTCGAAAGCAACTTATTTACCTGCGAATACGAGAATATCAGCGAGGTTTTATTGGGTAACTCTGCCTGTGCCGTTAAATGCCGTGCATTTCAGAACACCACAAAACATCCCAGTGGCTAGAGAGACCGTTCATCTTTTAGTGTTGGTGGCGGCATACTAGCTCCGTGGTGTTAAGGTAAGGCTTTATGCAGACCAGCTGCTCTTTCATGTTGCCAGAAGACAACAAACGCTGCATGTTTACAACCAGCGTCCAATCTGTCCACTGACTCACCCATCCACTTAATGAAGTGAGTCGGCTATGTTCACCTTGATTCACATGGCTTTAGTTGAGCCACGCCAGGGATACCCAGCTTGCTTTGCCCGGGGACCCCTTTAGCAAAATGACAGGAGGCCAGTTAATATACAAATAATTAGCAGCCCAGACTTCTGTCGTGGGGGGCGTCCTCCTGTGGCACTTCTTATGTCGATGATCAATTTATTCTTATTGTGAATTAGAAAATGGTCACCCCCCCTTACCCCCCTGGCATGCTACCACAGCCTGTAAATTTATGTTGCAATGTATCTTCATTTGTGTATGGATGCATCAGTACTGGGCTCAATGAACTATTTGCCGAGGCTACGGAGGCCAGTAAAAGCAGTTAAAAATCAATTATATTTCTATTTTACTTACATTGGACCAGGCCTGCACACACCTCATTGAGACTGTACAGTACAGTCTCTCTCATAATGTCCACTCACGGTCACAGTTGTTAATTTTCTCCTCTATATGTTCATGGCTGTGTTATCTGTTGCTGGATTTCCACCTCTGATCCTCTGTAACTGTTTTCCTCTTGCCAGCTCTGTTCTTTCTCTTCTTCTTTCATATGTCTCACAGAAGTTGCTCATTTTTTTACTCTGCCTCCACCCTTACATTCCTTGACCTCTCCCTCCCTGAATTCTGAGGCCACCTCTTCCATCAGGGCTGTGCCTCTTCTGCCATTCCTTTTTTCCATCTCTCTATTCCTCCCCCTTTCAAAACTTCTATCCTCCTCTTATTCTATAGATCATTCACTCCCTATATTCAGCGCAGTTACAGACAGGGACTAATCCTCTGTCTATGTTCACCTTAGACCTCCCTTCTCCTTCTCTCCCTTACTGTTTTCAGAGCGGACCTCATCCAGTGTGGTCCGAGGTCTGTAAATCAGGAGGCTGTGTCAGTAAATTATGGCAGTGAGTCATAGCAAAGCACGCAACTTCATTAAGCCCTATGTCATACACCAGCTTCCTGAAAGACCAGTGTGCCTCAATGGGTAAAAATTTCCGGCCACTTCCAGACCAACTGGTGGTCAAATGGTTTTATTTTGTAAGTTTTTATTGTCTAAATCTGACAAACAAGTTCCTCATCAATAGTGTGCGTAATCCTTCACACCATCCGTCCAGCCACTATTCTAACAGAACAACATCTGTTTCTTTTCAGCAGTTGCTGTCAGCTTTTCTTGACATCCAGCTTCACCTTCTCGCTATTATTTGGCTTTTTTATCCTCACCCTCCTGTACCTTTTCTGAGAGGGCTTCCTCTAGCGTGGCCAGGGCTGTGTCAGTGTTGCTAGAGTCAGTTTGAAGGCCTTGGACCCTTTCCCTCAACCCAGCCAGCTGTTTGTCCTTATCCTTTAACTGCTCCAACAGGTTCTCAATCTGGAGAGAGATGGACAGAGATAGGGAAAGAGAGGAACTGAGGTTAGCAGAATATCAGTGTGAAACAAGCATATTACAATCTCAAGGATTAAAAGAGTCATGGGCAGGAAAGTTTAGATTGAACCTGAAAGGTTAAGTAGCGTCCGTACAATATGCACAACTGGACTATCGTGAATGGAGACCTTGCGGTACCAAAGTACCACGAAAACAAATTATCCCAACGACCGCCGATTCATCGAGAAGATGAATCTAGACACTGAATAGTGTGCTCAGCCTCTGGCTGCATTCTCCAATTTCCTGCTGTAATGTCTTCCATTCTGGCCTGGCATTTTAAAGATGAGCAGCAATGAAAGCATCCACTGTACGGCTTGGGTCAAGACAATTATGGTTGGATCCATGAAGAGAGAATACTTAGTGGAGAGGTGTAAACAACATAGCCACTGGATGGTGCGACCGAAGCAGCCTCAGTACAAGTTTAGTAGTGTTACACGAAGAGTTAATTCAGCCTGTTGACTCACGGGACAGCGTCTCTGCATCTGCCTTTCTGCGGCTAACCTCATGTCGCTAAAGTGGCGGTGTAATAGCCAGTTGTGGTGTTCAAAAGCCTTTATCTGATGAACATCCGCAAAACGGAACACAAACACACACAAAGGCACATACACAGGCACACTCAGACACACAGGCGCACACACACAAAGAAATACAAAACGCTCCGAGCTGTACCAAACAAAACACTAGCAGATGCAGCTGGGGTAGGACACAGCGCAATGCAATGAGACTCCAGAGGTCTACAAATTAGTTACAAAGGGATAGCACATCTGGTGACAGGACATAGTGACATGGTGACTTATAATTTCCACAGGCACACTCTACATTCCTTTGAATTTGAATTAATATCATCTTGATTTATTAAAAAGGTAGTTGGATTTGAAAAGTTGATGGACTCCCCGATATTCCCTGAGATCTATACCCTGGCATAGAGCATCTATTTTCCTGTCTCTAATTCTCCTCTAGTAGTGTTTTTTTTTTCTACAGACAGACAAAGCACCATTCACTCGCTGCTGCAAAGCATTAATTCCACATTTGACCCAAGTGGTCCTTTCTCAGATCAGGGCTTGTGTTATACAAAAGAAAGGCACATACACTAAAAAGAATCCATTATTTAATGAACATGAGAATCCAATAAAAGACATAAAAAGCACTTTGGGCCATCAAGAGACCACATTTTTAACTGAGATGGTGACGGAGTAAAAAATGTCCAGTGGGGGGGAATAAGCTGCATTCCAGTCATGGGTACATAGATAGATAATGTCCAAATCTCCACAGCTATTTTACAAATGAATCCAATTAGACTGTAGACTTTGGTGTTCTCTGCTCCCTGGAGGGCATGAGCATGGGTTTAAAGGAGCCATCTTGGTTTTGGCAATGAAGGGAAAGTGGCAGGAGGGGGGTGGGAAAAAGCAGTGAGGACCCTTCAGCAGATCTTGATAGGTTAATGACATGTCATTATACAGCCAAGCTAAAGGCTCAAAGCGATAGGGACATTAAATCCTTCAGGGAATGATGGGAAAGCTTGACACTATCAAAGTCAGATACAATTCCCAGCAATTCATGATTGCCATGGGTGTGTCAGATGAGATTTTAGGGCGGTCACTGTGAGGCGAGGTTCGTGTTTCCACGTTTATTCTCTTATGTTTCTCTCATTTTAAGTAAGTGGGCTGAAGAGGTACTTTTCCAAGGGATGTAGGCACTTGAGCACTAAAGCTACACACGTTATAACATTCACGATCTCTGCATCACGAAGCACCGGCAGCCCCCCCCCGGTTACACAAGACTGACGCTGGAACATGCTTATCTCCACACACAGTAAACACAAGAGGAAGTACAAACAAACCAAATATCAGGCTTTGGCCTCAAGTTGTAGCAGCACAGTAGCTCTTTGACATACCTTGTTCTTCTAAATACACACCGAAACATATACATATGCACTCATGCACACCCTGGCTCTCTGTCCCTATGGGCACCACAGAACCCAGGTCAAATTGAGCATGTCGCCCCTGGTCTTAGATAAATGATTACATTCTTTACCAGGCTTAAGTTTGCTTTGGCCTGGTCGCACAAAATAACAACCACTCGATGAAATATTTAGCCACGTCGCTTTGCCTTTGGTGAAATTGTGCAGAAAAACGTTAAATGTTGTATCGGCGAATGAGAACGAGTCACGTGAGTCATGGATATGGGAAAGCAGGCGAGGAATTCTGTCAGAATTCTGAAAGTCAAAACATACTCTCCGAAGAGAAATGGCTTTTTGTTGACAGGCGAGGCGCAGGGCAGCCGTATGCCTTTCTGGGAGAGAGAGAGGGGGGCCTCCCTTCCAGTAGCTCGATTGTTATGATGAGAACAGCAGCCATTCATTTTATCTCTGAGCGTATGAGGCTACCTCAAACTATACTCCTGCATCTCTCTGACACACACACACACACACACACACACACACACACACACAGGCTTTTATCATTAAACCACTGTGCATATGTCATCCCACTCTCCAACCACACACACCTCCCGCTGAAGCAGACCACCTACAATAGGCAGCTACCATGACTCTACGGGCCAGGCGCTGCGGTGTGGACTGTCTGTCTCACAGAGTGTGTATCCTCCTGGGGAAACCATGACGTCTGTCTCAGTCGTCTCCCACACACATGGCCCTCCACTGTTTACAGCCATGCTGTTTTGACTCTGATAACTTTATCAACGAGCTGATAGGACGGGACCAGGTTCGCCTCAAAGTGTTGATGCGTGGTTACCTTTTACTGACCTTGACTTTTCCAAGGCGTCGACTTTTGCAAAATAGAAGGTGATTAATCAACTAATGATTGACATAATTATGTTAGAAATAAAAAGATGCAGAGAACACGAAAAATTTACTGTGCATGTAAAAATATGGGACAAAGATGGTTTACAGATTACCTATTGTAAATTTGGTGGTGCCCGCTACAGTCATACTGTTATTGACTTAACTAGTTGGTGAAGCTAGTGGTAAAAAGTGGGCTGTGATAGTGTCATCAGTGAAACAAAACAAGATGAAATGTAGCGTTAATTCATTCTCAAATGAATGACAACTATGTAAAGTGAGGGGGAAATTCATAGCTGTCAACAAAACAATTCTGATTCTCTGTTTAGTAGTCTTCGAAAGCCATTGGGATTCTTAGTGTTGCATTGCAGTGTGAGTGTGATCATGATTAGGACAAATTGAGTTCTAATGTAATGGGAGAAAAGTGAGTGAAACAGTATCAGGCCCTGTTTCTCTGGCGAAAAATCGTGATCTAAAAGCAGCTTGTTCCTGAGCAGAACCACAAACCCGGTCGACCCGTCTGTCTTCCATCCAAACTAAGAGCTAGAACTCGGTGGCCTCCAGAGGAATCATTTCTGCAGAACACAAAGGAGACCAGCGTGGAGCGTGACCACCATAAAAATACAATCATTTGTATTTTTAAAACTCTTCTGGACCAATAAAAATACCAAACAATAATTGGTCGCCCTTTTTTGAAAGGCAACTCATTTCTCTGCGCTTGTCATCGCCTCTGAAAATATGATGGGGACAGTTGTAAAACCCAAAGATCCTGGCACTGATACATATGTGAATGCATGTACATACACACACACATAGCCACACACAAATACACAGAGGGACAATAACCACAAACTGAACAATATGTAGTAACACAGTGTGTACTTCCCCAGAGAAATCTAGGTCACAGTCGAACAGAAACACGATGAAAGACTACATACTGGAAATATCATACTGCTACTTCAAATATTTCACAATCACATACTACAATCCAAGTACAGCATGTGCATATCAAACTGCGTGTGTTTATATATGTGTGTGTGTTACAGTTCACTCAAACATGTACACCTGCATACTGCTCCCATCTCCTGCCATCAGAGCTTGTTGATTCCCAGGTCAATAAAGGACTTCCTCTTGCTGCTGAGCACTCAGATGTGGCTCTTCAAAGACAAACAGTTTGCTCATGAAGCTCAGAGAAGATAGTGACCTTTCCAGTGTGAGGAAGTTGTGCTTGCACTTCATTTCACCCCTGTCCCACCACAACCTCCCACTACCACCCACCGCCACCCCTTCTTTGCTTGTGAAGCAGAGCAACACCGGCACCGGCAGACTGAGAAAACACTGATACTGTGTAAGCTGGCGCCCCCATGTGGCAATATTCTGAAACAGGCTCATTGTCCACTTGAGACAACTCCAGAGTCCATTTAAAATGAAAAATGATGTGCTTATGTTGTGTTTTTTGTTGTTGTTTTTCAAGCATTTGCTGTATGAGAACAGCAGAGTGAAACACAACCATTTTCAATTATGAGATGTGAGACTTTACAGAACAAGCTGACATACAGATGTGATGCTATCCTCTTTGGCCCCAGAGACAATAACCAACTACACGCTACTTCATTATAAGTTTCTTTGAATAAGAGTGGCAGCTATTGTCCAGAAACATTCCCCTCAAACACTCCACAAATGGAGTTTGAAAGGAAACTGTCAGCATACACTCAAAGCTGTTAAGTCACAGTAACCAGATCTCTATGGACAGTTGAGCTGACCGGCTGGGAATGTAAGGGTACAACGTGATGGAGAGACCCTTAACGCGAGGAACAACACCTCTCCCCATTCCCCTCAAATGACCTTCCTGATGTCATGCTGCTTTGCTCGAGGAGTCATTACTCATCTGTTATCGACCAGAACGACGGAGCAAAATGACTTCACAAGACAAGTTGTGCCCGAGAGAAGGGGGAAAGAGGAGGGAGGGTCAAGAAGCACGATGCTCAGGTTCTGAAATCATTCACACTTTTCTAAACAAGGAAAAGCAGAGGTCATTCTTTATTTCTGTCAGGAAATAGCTTTGAAATCTTTGCCTTCCAAACTATAATGTACGTCAACGAGAGCGAAATCTTTCTCCCTGATGTTTTGGCCAACACTGCACCAG